ATGTGCTGACTTCAGAGCCTCCAGAGTCTGGCAGCAGCGAGACAGAGGAACAAGGGGAGACTATTCCCAGTGTGTGTGTCTGCACAGAGCTGCCAGAAGGCAAGAGCAGCTAAGACAAAAGGGGCAACTCGGGAATAAGGCTTGGAGGTGATTGCCCCTCCCATAAGATATAAAGGAAGTGCAAAGGTAGAGAAACCTTTGCAGGAAGCAAAGTCGTTCGCTCTGTTCGGATTAATCCTTGAAGCTCTGTACTTCGTTTGGCTTTTTACAGTTAAGTTGGTACTTTAGTTGTTGGCAGCAATTCAAAGGAGATAAAGATGGATGCTTATCTCAAGAGACTGTTTGGGACTCATTATGGGCTGGGAATGAACATAATTCCCAGCATTGAAATAAAACAAGTGTTGTTTGGACTAAGCATGTGTTTAATTATAGTCAGAACGCTCACCATAATTGGTCAGAACAGGAAGCTTGGTCAGAACACGTAGCCTCACCTGTCCAACTGGGGTGAAGATATAGAATTGGGTATCCCCAGGATTCTAATGATACTGAACTCCATGGTAATGGATTATTTCCCTACCAGTTTAATATAGATGTTGAAAAGTAGTGATGAAAAGCTCAAACCCTGGAGCACCCTATATTGCAGAGCTCAACTTCTTCTCCTTCCAAGACTGATTGGAACTGGCCATGTAGGAAGGAGGAGAACCACCATAACAAAGTGCGTCCCAGTCTCACTCATGCGAATGGAGTTGTGCGCTTGCCTACCGCTCTTGCAGAACCGTCTCTTCTCCCCTCGTTCTTCGGCGGGTTTGCAAAGCTGGAAAGATTGGGAAACTCTGACTTACAGTATCAAAAGCTGCTGAGAAGTCTAGGAAAGCCAGAAAGGTTGCACACTCCATCCTGAGTCCTCCAAAGGTCATTGTCATTAAAATGTCATTTAAAACAATGGGCGATTGTCATTAAAATGTCATTAAAACACACATACACATCTAAAATGTGTATTTAATATATACATTCAGACATTTTGCTTGTGTTACAAAACTAAAGTTATTGCTGATGAATGTAGATAGCATGGGATCAGTGCACATTAATGTGATATTAGGGGTATAAACCACTCATCCATCCATCCATCCATCCATCCATCCATCCATCCATCCATCCATCCATCCCTAACTACACTGGTTTTATTAAACCCTGAGCATGAATATATATCTTTGCAGGAAACAAAGAAGCTTTGTGTTTCTAATTGTGTTGATCAAGAGCAGCCTAGAACATCCCTGCAATGTTCAGGACTAATATAATGCCAGTGCTTAGATAGATGATAGATAGATAGATAGATAGATAGATAGATAGATAGATAGATAGATAGATAGATAGATGATAGATATAAAGGCACACTCAATTAACAACCCACAACCCTACATAGTTGTGATTGCAAGCTCCAGCTTCCTGGTTTTGCTTCACTGGCTTACGCTGATGAATCTCTCTGTGCTGTGCAGAGAATATTTCCTGATCCCCTTAACGCATTAGGGAAGCTAATTAGCATCCGAACTTCCAGTGAAATGGGCCACTTCTAATGTTGCCTCCCATTAATTCTGATTTACGCCAGTGCAGCAGCCCTGCTTGTTTTCCCTCAAGCTACTTCGTGGGATCCTATGGAGAAGCTCATTGCGATCAAAGCTGGGTACAAATGCAGTGTGGAAGAGCCAGCAATTCTGTCCACTATGACTATAAGATAGTGGAAGGATTATTATTACTATCATTTCTTTTTGACGTTTTTAGTTCCTTATAAAATGATGAGAGGGACAACAATGATGATGAGTAGGATGATGATATTTAGAGGTTTCTGAAGCATTCGTGCTTCCTGAATTCTCAAATGAGATAAGAAAGCTTCAAAACAAGCTGGTGTTTCCTCTAAAACAGGCCAACAGATCTAAGCCATCCTGTTCTGAATTAAAATGCTCTATGAAGCCCCCATCAGGATTTGTGTATATACAAAGCAACGTGGGGTTGAACGGGGAGCAAGTAGGGAGTAAAGGCTGGTGCAGTGGCTATTGGACCCACACACAAGCACACTCCTTCTTCCTAGCATATTCCCGGAAGTGCAGGGTCTGCTTTTCAGATCATTGAGTGCCACTTTGCATGATCCGTTGCGTCTCCAGGATGGAGGCCCACAGCTTGCATATCTTTGTGGATGGTACCTTGCCGTCTCTGTTTTGGGTGCCTGCGAGGTCCCCAACCATTGACTTCTAGTTGGTAGACAGTCTTGGCAATGATGGAAGGCAGTGGTGAAGTGAATTTCCTCCACTTAAAGGCTGTTCCTGGGAGAGGTTTTTTTTCCAGCCAAAGGTAACCTGGACATTGGGGGCAAAGTTGGAGATAATAAAGGGACTCTTATTGATTATTTGACTGTGTTGCCTTTGTGCCACGCCCCAGGTCATCACATACAGGAAAAGAGAGGCTGTGACTCAGGATTGCCTATAATGAGTTGGGGTGCCCAACAATACCTTCTAGTCTAGAAGGTACAACTTCCAGAACTGCCAGCCTAACAAGGCAAATCAGAGTAATATATCAATTATTTGACCAGTGTCTTGGTAGTGGCTCTTTCTCATGTACTTCAAAGTCATGGCTGGTACCCACTACAGTATAAGAATCTTATAAATGTTAATTTAGCTCGAAGATTGTCGAACCCAAGTTCAAATACATCAGAAAGATTCCAGGTGCGGGAAAACTTGACATTCACCATTTTAGAGGACCTTCTGGAACTAATGAGCTAAATAATTAGCTTAGACATAATAACATTAAAATGTAGCATCATGGCAAATGAAAATAAGCTAATATAGGCTGCTTCCTAAAACACAAAGGCTTAGTGTCAGCCAGATTAAGCCCAAGACATTCTTCAGAGTGAGACACCAACTGGTGTCCCCATTACCTAAAACCATATCAGGTCCCTTTTACAGTATTCAGAATAACAGAGTTGGAAGGGACCTTGTAGATCATCTAGTCCAACCCCCTCCTTGTTGTGGTTAGCCGGAAGCAGGTGCGGATGGCTGTAGAGAGCGAGGACTCAGATGAGGGGCCAGGACCATTAGGGAGTGGACTGCTGCCTTCAGAGATTGTGGGGGCTGGCAGCAGTGATGAGGAGGTTCCCGAGGAGCCTGTGCCAAGTGCGTGTGCACGCAGGGTTGCTCGCAGGAAAGAGCAGTTGCAGCAGCATGGGTGACTCGGGACTAAAGCTGCAAGGTAATGGCCCCTCCTTCAAGAAGATAAAAGCCAGCTGTGAATCAGACGCTTCTTTGTAGGAAGCAAAAATGTTTTGGAACTCAGCCTCATGGACATTACAGTATCTTAAGTTGGTATTTGAAGACTCTTGTGTTGTAAAACATTTCTTATCAGTTATTCTTGGCAGTCTTGCACAGTTTTGGCGAGGCTTGTGCTTATCAAAGTTAATTAGTTTGCAGCAGCCTTTTAACCGGGGATTCGTAAGAATCATTAAAAGTTTCTGGTTCATGTTTGCTTTATTGGAAAAGGGTTTGGGTCAGAACATTGCTCAAGCAGGAAATCCTATGTCATTTTTTACAAGTTTTATATCCAGAATGAAGGTCCCGATGCAGTCGTCTCATTCTTCCTTATGCTGGGCCAACAATGGTTAAAATTGTAAGCTTTAATGTCATGGGGCCCAGGAAATATACCAAACAGAAGTCCACAGCAGGGAAGAGAAAAAATTCTTTCTTTCTCTACTTGAAATCCTTCTATTCTGCTTTCCTGCCAAAATAAAAAATAAAAAAATAAACCTATCCCAAGATTAAAATAATGAAAACCCCAATTAAAAAGCATTGTGTTCATTTTAAACTAAGATCTAAACAATTGGGTATGTATTGAAAGTCTTTAAAAATGAAATAAACACCTTTTAAAAGATAATTTCAGAAGGAGGATAACCTATTAAGACATCAGCTAAATAGGGCTAGCAAAAACCCACAAAAACAGCACGTCACTTTCCATATGAAAACAAAGCACTGGAACTAACCTGATCTTCAGGCACCAAGAAAATAAGGACCCACAACTGAAAATCCCATTTTATAAGTTATAAGTTGATGCCAGTCGAGTTTTATATAAAAAGACAACTTAGGGAAACATTTCTCTAATTGGGCAGATTCCTAAGGGAACAGGCTGGCTTTTCCTTACTGGTTTTCTGCATCCAAGTGCTTTCAGTGTCAGGTATCAAGATCAAATGTACGAAAGAAGAAAAATATCTGGTTCCTAACATCATATCCCTTTTAGGAAATAAACTAAGCTAACACACCAGGGGAATAAATTGACAAACCGTCTTGTGTTGTTACAAAGGGAAAGAAAGGGGGGATGGGGAAAGAAGCAGGAATAAAAATGACATCCATCCATCAAAATCCATGGGGGAAATTTTGCTTTTGAAGTCGCACCAATCTAGGGGTCTCCCTTCTTACAAATTTTGCCTTCTTCCCACCTCATCGATACCCCAACCCACCACAGAGCTTTGTCACTGGAGACTAGGGCAACAAATGGCAACATGTCATGGGGGTTGGTTGATGTATGTCTATTTAGTCTCAGCATAGGCCGAAATGCCATCATTAATTCATTACCCAGCTGCCTGTCAAATAAATTGGCAATTACACCCACCGACGGAGCCTGGAATTTCAGTAAATAGCATGTTTCTGTTGATGGAGCCATTGAGAAATGTTAAAAAAAAAAGAAGAAAAGGAGAGAAGAGAAGAGAAGAAAAAAAAAGAGGAGAGGGTGGCGGTGGAGGAAATGAAACAACGAGAACATGTTTGTTTCACTAGCAAAATGACAAAGGACGATGCTTATCAAGGCAATGTTGGGAGGTGGGGAGAAAAGCTCTTGTAAAAGAGCCAGACAGAAGGGAGGTGGACTGGAACAGGTTTCAGAAGAAGGGAGAAACATGCAAACACACAGAGGGGTAACACTCATTTTTCTATCTTTTTTTCCCCTTCTTCTTTCCCTTGCAGAGCTCCGCCCCTTCCAGCTTGGGAACAGGCTACTTTGTAAGTGGATCTCAACTTTTTAAGATACGTATCATGGAACAGTTGTCAAAAATGGTAATAATACCCAAGGAGGGAGATTTTGCAGTGGATATTATTTCAACTGATGGGCTTGGCCAGTTACTTCCTATGGCTTTCACCGGTTGGCCTGCAACCCAACATTATAACCATGGTTTTGAACACAATCTCTTGCCATTCCACCAACTTGCTTTCTTTAATCACCCCATCTTCCTTAGCTCCCATTCCTCCAACCCACCCAGTAACTGTGCCCCAGGGGTGGGTCCCTCTCCCCTTTTATTGTCCTTTATATTGTTATATATATATATATATTGTTATTATGTTTATCCAGGTTAATCCTTCCTTCTCCTAGGACTGTTTTTCAAGGGTCCATCTAGGGCAGGGGTGTCAAATTGGATTTCTTCGAGGGCCAGATCAGCATTGTAATTCTCCTCTGTGGGCTGGTGGGGAAGGCAGGGAGTGGGGGGAGACGGGACGGAATCCGTTTTGGCTGGCAGAGGCACCGCGGGCTGGTCCTTTGGTATTTCCAGGCCGGTCCTGCAGACCCGATTTAAGCACCCCGTGAGCCGGATCCATCCCCTGAGCCTTGAGTTTGACACCCCTGATCTAGGATCTACTTTGTAAGAAACCGGTCTATTGTGATCAGAAGGCTGGTTTCACACAACGTATTAGCCCTGGTTAAAATGAGATTGGGCAGTCAGAGGTTCAGTATTTTTGGAGGGAGGTGGGGGGAGCTTTTATATGAGATTGTTTGAATTAAGTCACCACATTAAGTCATAATATGGGGTATCTGGGAGAGGGGGCATAGCATTTCATATCAAGGGAGAACTTGTTAACCTAGCTTTGAAATTTAACATGCTGTGTGAACCTAGCCAATTTTCTGGTGATATATATGTATGCATGCCTTGGGAAAGGGATTTAAATACCCATTGAATGGATCTGAGGGACTGATATGTACAGATGTATTCTATAGTAGATAGATGCCTTATTACAGTAGATACATCGTTATCTCTTGGGACTTTTCTCTCTTCCTCATAGAAATGCCTATCATTTTCCTGGCGGAAGCCACCAATGATATTTTAGTAGCTTATTCATCTCCATATTTCCAAGAATTCCACCAGCTCTTTTGATTAAAGCCCTGAGCCTTGATATCATCTATGGATGTAGGGTAGGATGTGAGCAGAGCATGTTCTTCTAGCAATTACATGCCGATTGTCAAATGAGTCCCAGGTTCCTGTGTGAAAAATACAAGAAAAAAACGAGGCACAACTTATCAAGCAGTGCATACAGTTAATCATGCATCCTTATTAAATGCAGTGCAAATAAGTTGCACGGGGTATCTGAGCTGCTGGACTCCCATCTGATATTGGGCTAGGACCTTCCCAAATGGTCTTGAGAAGAACAGTCCCAGTTAAGATATACTGTAACCTTATCTCCTAAACAAAAGAGCTAACAAAAGGAACTCCTGTGTATAAAACTCAATTTGTGTTTACTCCCATTACGAATTTTTAAATAAGTATTGTTCAACTCATTGGAGGCTGTATTTTTTATACAATAGTGACATCGGTTTCTTCATTCTGCATGATATGTGTTGATTTTAAATCAGGTTTGAATGGAATGTCCTAATACAATATAAAAAGAGTGAGATCATGGGGATATATGAAGCTCCCTTTGACAGGTTGTCTTACTCATTCATGCACGTGTGCAATTATGTGGCCACCCAACTCAAGCTATGTGACTAGGGAAAGGAGGGAGGGAGGGAAGGAAAGGAAGAAGGAAGGGAAGGGAAAGAAAGGAAAGGAAAGGAAAAGGAGGGGGAGGGAGGGAAGGGAAGGAAAGGATGGGGAGGGAGGGAGGAAGGGAGGAAGGAGGAAAAAGAAGGAAGGGAGCAAAGGAGGAAACCATAACTAATTGAAACATATTAAACAACAAAATGGTGGACAGAATTGAAAACTGCCACAATCCTAAGATAATACTTCATAGTTCAATTCACATGAATTGATTGAAACTGGTATCTCAAGAGTAAAACAAGGGGCTTTTCCAGCCTTAAATGGTGATCTCAGGAACTAAACTTGGTAGATCTGGCATGAAAGATGCAGTGAGATAAAGTTGTTGGACTAGGATGGAGGAAATCTAGTTCAAGGCCATTTCCAGACATGGAGATTCACAGTGTCAATCATCTACCTCAGTCCAACCTGCTACTTGCAATTGCAGTTGTGGGGTGAAACAAAGGTGCCTTGAGATTATAGAGAAAAGGTGGGGACATAAACTGATGATGATGAAAGTGCTGTTGGTTCTTCATAGTGTTTCTCACCGACTGTGTGCTTAGAGCTATTTGGGATCCTCCTTTGGGTAGAAATGAAACTATGTGAGAAGACAGTCTCTTTATTGGAAAACTCATTCCTTCTCAGAGGTAAGAGCTGAGAAACAGGAGCAGAAGCATCCAGAGGTTGATGGCATCCAAGAATCAATGAGTGTGTCCTCAACCAGAGATTATTCATTTGTCTGATGATGGCGGCTTATGGTTGCTTGATTATGGTTGCTTAGATGATGGCTTATTATTATAATTCTCCCTGGTGGGAGTAAACAAATGGGCAGCTTGTATGGGAAACCAAGCCATCCTTTACTGACTGCAGAATAATTCATGTTGTAACTGAAGTATCTCAATTCACAGCATTGTAATTTCCACGCTGTTAGCCCTGGTAGATCCTGACTACAGTTAGTCCTTGACTTATGACTACAGGTGAGTCCAATATATCTATTGCTAAGCAAGGCAGTTGCTAGGTGAATTTTGCCCCATTTTACAACCTTCCTTGCCACAGTTGTTAAGTGAGTCACTGAAGTTGTTTAGTTAGTAACATGGTTGTTAAGTGAATCTGGCTTCCCCATTGAGTTTGCTTTTCAAAAGGTCACAAAAGGGGATCACATGGGATTCTACAACTGTCATATGTATGAGTCAGTTGCCAAGGGTCCAAATTTTGATCATGTGACTATGGGAATACTGCAGTGTGAAAAACTGCCATAAGTCACTTTTTTCAGTGCCGTTGCAACTACGAATGGTCACTAAATGAACTGCTGTAAGTCAAGGACTACCTGTACCATGAACTGTCTTCTGACCAAGTAGTATAGGAGCCAAGACACTGACACAGAAGAAGAAAAAACAGCAGATTTCATTCCACCCTGATCCCTTTTTCATCTTTCTATCTTTGTTTTTCATCTATTTATCATCATCAACTAAACATTTACATCCTTCACCTTCACTCTCAGTGCTGAAGGGACTTACCCAAAGAGTGAAACCTATTCCGCAAAAGTGATGGTTAATGTAATTCCAGCTAGGTTTTTCCCTGAATATCAACAATTGAAGTTAAATTGACTTTCTATATATCATCTGGCACCTTGACAGCCGTGCCTCTTCCATCCACAGATATCCTTCTGTCTTCAGTTGCTGAGGAAAATAAACATTTTTAGCATCCCAAGCCTGGTATAACTCCCCCAAAAGCAAGATGGGGTGTCAGGGACGACATCTGTCAGGAAATCTACAGACAGCTCAAGCTGTCAAGAACAGGCATGCTATGTGCTAACAATGCCTGGCTGTCTTTTCTTCACTCCCCAAGCTGGCATTTGCAAAGTACAAGCCACTTGGTGTGAGCTTATAGGAGTGCGTGGGTGGGCACGCACACACATACACACACACAGAGAGAGAAAGGGGGAGAGAGAGAGAGAGAGAGAGAGAGAGAGAGAGATTGTTATTTATATACACCTCCTGTGTCTTGGCTCTGTAGATCCCAATGAATTGCAAATACCAGCATTAATGTCATGAATTAATTATTTTTTGTCTTTCAATGGCCCCCGTAATTCCTTGCATTCGGGGTGAAGTCGGGGCAACTGAATGGAGATGCGTGTTGACTGGCCGGATACCCTTCCTGTCTCCAATGCAGAGTTCACAGCAGATAATTACTCATTGTGCCCAGAGAGAGAAATATCTGCCGCTACCTAGAATCGAACTCGCAGCCTCCTGATTGTGAGGCGAGGACTCCAGCTCTAGACCACAGCACCACTCTATGTCATTTATTAAATTGACCCAGTTTAATATTCTTAATGTTCAAATGTGTGGGCAGTTTTTTTTTTTTTTTTTTTTTGGTGGCTTAGTGTATGTAGTGAAGCCAGCCCGTTCAATTAATTTGTGGCTGAATCTGTTGTAAAAGCCAGAAAGATGAACCAGGTTAAGTTGCCTCATACACTGTGATAATCAGACTAAGAGTCAAGGATATTGTCATAAAACACCTATTCGAAAACTTCTTTATTACCCAAGACTTGTCTAACTGACCTCTTCTTCGCAGGTTTAGGTAGTAGATCGCATATTCTTTTGTTGCATATTTCGTTTGTACCTGTTGCTGGCTTAGTTTTGTGGATGCTTGTAACTTTGTCTGCCATTTATTTATTTATATTATTTTTACTTATATGCCAACTGTGGAAGGTTCATAGCACAAAAAGAGAATAAATATGCAGTCTGGATACAACGGATAGCAATAAACAGATGGCCTATCTAGGGAACACAACATATTTCATATTCAGAACATGGGGTTTTTTCCATCCTAGCTCAAAGCCCAGGAGAAGAGTCCTTTAAGCCCCCCACACCCCAAACACCATCGGGGTATGGACAACCTGGATCTCAGGGGAGCCGCATTCCAGAGCACAGGCACCATAAGAGAGAAGGCATATTTCTGGAGTCCCAATAGGTAACATTGCTTCAATGAAGTAATCTGAAATATGCCAACTCTATTGGAATGATCCAGCAAGACTGATAACTTGGGAGTTATGTGATATCTGAGCCACGGTAGCTCAGTGGTTAGAGTGCAGTACTGCAGGCTACTTCTGCTGCCTGCTGGCTGCCTGCAATTTGGCAGTTCAAATCTCACCAGGCTCAAGGTTGACTCAGCCTTCCATCCTTCTGAGGTGGGTAAAATGAGGACCCAAATTGTTGG